CATGTCTCATTCTCCCTGGTGTGGCAGCTGTCTTGATTTTAAAGCAAAAACAGCTCAATTACCACTTTCCTCCCTTAAACCAGAGGGATCAGAGAAGACTTTATTGGAAAGTTGTATATATCTGTTCTAAACTGTCTGGGACCGTACCTGAAAGGCTAACATAATTCATCTATGTTTTGCCTAACTGAGAAATCAGGTGGGAAAATCTATAGGTGCTTCTGGTAGTGATTAGAAAACCACACCTGTGCCCAGGCCAGGCGCATGCTCAGGAGAGAGGAAGACATTAAGCTTTCTGCCTTGGGCCTGACCCTAGGCTCAAAGAAGCCTAAGTGGAGTTCTTCAGCACACAGCCAGTCTGCAAAGTATGGGGTAGCTCTTGGAATTCAAGGAAATCTTTGTCAAAACACTCACTAAATATAACTAAAGGGACAGAAGCTTCAGATAATTATGTATGATAAGGACTAGTCTTTGCAAAAGAAGTTTAGAGAACTAATGGAATCCCAAAAGTATTATAACCTTTACTAATAAACTAACCAACCCAACCACCTCTCGAGAAAAGGCACAATCTGATTTTCAAAGATCTCACATTATAATGGTCAAAGGGAAAATTTTCAAGAAAAGAATCACAAAACACACAAAGGAAAAGAAAGATATGGCACATTCAAAGGAATAAATAAACTGGCAGAAACCACTTCCAGGGAAGCTCAAACATGGGAGTATCACATTAAGACTTTAAAATAACTGTCCTCAGTATGCTTAAAGGACTAAAGCACAATATAGACAAAGGACTTAAGCAAAATCAGAATAACTACCTATGAAAAAAGTGAAAATACCAAGAAAGAGATATAAATTATAAAATGGCCAGATAGAAACACTAGAGGTATTTCAATAACAGAAATGAAAAATTTTCTAGAAGGATTCAGAAGATTTAATCAAACAGAAGAAAGGATCAGTGAACTTGTAGATAAGAGAAATAGTAAACTGAAGCTGAGTTTGTGGAACAGAATAATAAACAAAGACAGGTAAATAGGCTTAAAAGAGTTTCTGGGACTCCATAAAACAGACCATTGTGGAATTTCCAGGAGAAATGACTGAGAATGATTCACAAAGACCATTGAAAGGAATAGTGGCTAAAAATTTCCCAAATTTGGCAAAGGAAATGAGTTTACAAACTAAAGAAACTCAAACTTCAAGTAGGATAAGCCAATGAGACTCATCTGGACATACACGGTCAAATTGTCAAAAGCTAAACACACACACACACACACACACACACACACACACACACACACACACACTCTTGAAAGCAACCAAAGAAAAGTAGATCATTTCATACAAGGTGTCCCCAGTAAGATTGTCAACCTATTTCTCAGAAGAAATATAATCATCCAGAAGAGAGTGGGATGACATATTGCAGTGATCCAAGTAAAAAGTCAACTGTAAATTTCAATATCTGGCAAAACTGTCCTTCAAAAAGTGAGGATGAAATCAAGACAGTCTCAGGTAAACAAAAACTGAAATTTTTTACTATTTCTCTACAAAAAATGCTAAAGAGAGTCCCTTAGGTTGTAAGGAAAGCATGTTAGTAACTAGTAGTCATATAAATACAAACGGTTCTCCAGTAAGGGTAAATGCATAAGCAAATACAAAGTTAGCATTGTTATAATTTTGGTTTGTAACTCTATTATTATTTTCTACTGGATTTTGAAGAAACTTATGTAAGAACATTAAAATCTATGCTATTTGGCATATAATGCATAAAGATGTAATTTGTGATGTCAATAATATGAAGTTGGGGAATAGAGTTGTAGAGGAACAGAGTTTGTGTCTGATTAAAATTAAACTGATACAGACTCACATTTGACTGCTATGTTCAGATGTTATAAGAATTCCCATGACAACATAAAAATATTTACAAAATATACACACAAGGGAGTGAGAAGGGAATAAAAATGTCACTATGAAAAGTCAGCTAAACCCAAAATAAAGGTAGCAATGAGGGAAATGGGCTACCAAAATGGTATAAGACATCCTGAAAACAGGTAGCATAATGGTAGAAAATAGCTTTTCCTTGAAAGTAATTACTTTAAATTTAAATGGATTAAACTCAGCCAGGCATAGTGGGACAGACCGATAATCCCAGCATTTGGAAGGCTGAGGCAGGGGGATCACCTCTAGTTTGAGGCCTCCTCCTTTTTCTTGAGGATTCAGTTTCTTTCCATTTTTTAAAAAATTTTACTTTATTTTTAAAATTAAATTTATTGGTACAATTTAGATATACATAATGATTATATTCCTCATAGGGAGTTTGTATCTGTTTTCAGATCAATTGGGAGGTATCATAGGAAAAATAAACCCTCTTATTTGCAATAGCTATGAAGTACTTACGTATAGTACTCACAAATCTGCAAGGTATGCACTTACAGGAAGTACAAGGTACTGGCTTTGCACATGCTGTTCTTAGTGATGGCAGCCTGTAGCCAACCATGGTCCACCTCACCGTGCCCAGTCCTTAGGCCCTGTCTCCTCTGAGCGGTCCACAGACAAAGAGCCAAAGACAGCAAAACACTCTGGTGCTCTGGGCGCCAGTGAAAAAAGCATTTAGTTAGAAGGGTTCCCGCTTCCACAGAATTATTACAGGATTTAAGTGCCAGGGTGGTGCCTTCACAGGCCACAATGGCACATCATTTGTTGGGGGAGACATTTGACAATTAGAGCTTCATGCGAAGCACACAGGTGCTGGCATCTTGTCCTAGTGTTTTATCTTCACGGTCAAGCTGAGTGGTTGGATGGCAAGCATGCGGTCTCTGGGAATGCAAAAAGGGCATGAATCCTATGGATGCCATGGAGTGCTTTCGGTCCAGGAATGGCAAGGCCAGCAAGACAATTCCCATTGCACTCTGTGGACAACTCTAATGCACCTCATGTCTGTTTGCCTTAACCCGCAGCGCATCCCTTCTGTAGCTCAGGAAAGTTCTCCTTCCCACTAGCTCCTGGTACCCTAACATCTTCTTTTCCCGCTGCATTTCTTCAGGTTCTGTGTTTCCTCCCTAACCCTCCAAGCTGAGGTGGATTTCAGAGTTAAGTTTTGATTATGAATAAAAACTAAACAACAAAAGAAGTAAAAGATATTCAGGGGTCAATCTCATGAGGCTGAATGTCATGAGAGGTAAATGACTAAAGCAGTGGCTGTCAAACTTTATTATGTTGTCAAAGTCACTTGAGTAGGCTTTTATACTACAGACTGCTAGATTTAGGGCTGTCAAGTAAAGCAGAAGATGCTGTTATGGCTTGTATCTAGATGTCCTCCCAGAGTCTCATGCCCTTATTGGTGTTTTTTTTCGAGCTAGTTGGATATAGAGTGTGTGGTAATGGGATTAAGGGTGTGTGGTACTAAGTTAGTCCATTGAATGAAATTAGCACAGTTCTTGGTGTGGCTGAATGCATTTCCTAAAGCAGAAGCCCCGCCCTGACTGAGGGAGGGCACTGACCAATAAGCTTATAGCCTGGATGGAATACAAAGGGATAGAAAGTAGACAGGCTTGCTGCTGCCACCTCCTGCCGGCTCTGCCATGGAATGTTTCTCCTCTGCGATGCCCCTCTGCCATGCCATTCTGCCTTGGAGCCAGTTGATTATGGACTAAAACCTCTACAAACTGTGAGTTGAAGTAAACCTTTCATCCTTTAACTTGCGGGTATTGGGTATTATGTCTCAGCAATGAAAAATATAACTAAGACAAATGCCTAGTTGAATTTGCATTCAGTTAAAGAGAAGTACTTTTAAAAGTTATAAACATTCCAAATATTACATGGAACACATACTAAAGAAAGATATCTGCAATTCAAGTTTGAATTGATGTTCTGAACTTTTAGTCATGGAGTCTGGCTACCCTAACTGGTTCTGTCTCTAGAGTGTCTGACTGAGTATATTCTGGGGCAAGATCTAAGAAGTTGCATTTTCAGCACTTTCCTAAGTGATGCTGATGCTAATGCTGTTGATCTGCGACAGTGCTTCAGAGAGACTTCTGTAGCGGTGTTGTAGGATTCTAGGAACAAGTAGATGGGTTTATGCACCATTCATAAACATGACACTTGAGAACAGACCAAGCTCCTGAGATGCTACAGTGACCTGAGGTCATACACTCGTGTTCTTCAGGACCCTCTTCTGATTCCATTTTACCTCATGGTCAATATCAAACTAAACACAACAACTTTGTGATTCTCCAGATAGATCTCCATACCTCAGAATTATTCAAGGCCTGCAAATATTTATTTAAATACACATCAGTGAATTTTTGATTAAGATATGCTTTTAAATTCCAATAAGAATCAATGATGATGCTATAGATGGAGGAGGTAAAATCCACACTCACATTTATAGTGAATTTAGTGTAAAAAAGGGATCAAGCTGGTATAATTTGAGCTAAGTTCTAAAAGGAGGTCCATGTATGTCTCCTTAATGAAGAGCCCTCTTGTCTTCTCTGAGTACCACTTTGATGTGCTGTTAGTCACCATAGGAGTCAGCAAGTGCTCCCAGGGAAGTGGGAACAAACTGGGTGGCTTCTTAGTGGCTTTTCCTAGTGGTTGTGTAACAGGTCTGTGATGGTTTCTTTTCTCTGTTTAAACAACCTCATGCCCTGAAGTCAGGACAGCTAAATGCACAGACTGTGCCACATTAAAATATCAATGTTATTGTGTTTTGTAGTGGCTTTTTCTTTTTTTAATTTAGAAGAGACTTGCCAAAATTATAAGTCAATGAGGAATACAGAATGTTTTTATTTTATATGTAATGTGTTTTGAATATTCAAATCCATAAAGCAAAGGCAGTTGGTAGGGTTGAGTTTTCCAGCACTTTGGATAATCAAGTGTAGGAATGAGAAAACTGAATGGATCCCTTATTCTGTTTCTCATTTGGTAACTCAGATGATGTTTCATGCTTATGTTAAACTCTGCCCCACCATTTTTCCATTATGACATATGGGACATTATTACACTACAGGGAATGTTCTAGTATGTAGGTCAAGATGGTGAGAAATGTTGAAATCATGGTGCTTGGGGATGTTGGGTAAGGAGGGAAGAGGATTCATTGATGCCATGATATGCTGTCTCATTTCTGTGGGTTTGGAAACTGTTTCTTCTGGGCACATGGTCCCCTCCTTTCTGACCACCTTTTACTATCCTTCAGCATGGCTGTCTGCTTCTCCAGAAAGGCTTACTGGAGCTTCAAGAGAAGATCAAATAGCACTCTTGTAGGTTGTCTTAGCAGCTTGATATCACCCAAATGTGAGTACCTACCTTATGTGCTCACTTATGTATCTTACAAGTCTGTCTGTGAAGAAGCTCTTGGCTCATCTGTAAGCCCATTGCCTAGTACTGTGCCTGCCTAGAACAGCTGCAAAAGTCTGAGGTATGGGAATGGTTATAGGTAGAGTCTGTTTTCATCCAGAAGGGAGACCTAGCACTAATGAATGGACGTTATATGAGTTCAATTTTACTTCAACTAAAGAACTTTCTAAAAATGAGAACTTTCAAAGAATACAGAGGAGACAGACAAGTCCCCTTTTCCATAGAAGCCAGTCAGACAGCTGTTAAGAATGACACCAACAGCTTAGCCTAGGTGACTCAAGGAGCCTTATAAATTGGAATGTCTCTTATGCTAGACCCCTTTTTCACTAGAGGTTTTCTGTGGGACAGTAGATAGCAAGAAGATTTGAGATACTAATTAGGGGGAAAAATGTTCCATGTAGGTTAAAAAGGTTTCCTTCCTGAAGGGTATTTCAGATATATTTGATATATAAATATGCTGTGATTTTCAACAAAAGCATATAACTAACTATTCATTATTCTGAAACTAATTTGATTAAGAAATTTCATTTATTAGGCATACTTTGGGTTTTTCATATAAGAAAAATGCAAGATTTTAGCTTTTGTTCACTTACCATTATGGTCTCAAGATCCATCCATTTTCCTGCAAATGACTCAAATTTATCTTTTTCTGTGGCTGAGTAGTACACCAGTGTGTGTATATACTCCACATTTTCTTTATTCATTCATCTGCTGATGAGCATGTAGGCTGTTTTCATAATTTAACTACTGTGAGCTATGTTACTGTGAACATAGATATACGTGTATCACTGTAATATGATGACTTTAACTTTTTCAGGAAGATACCCAGAAGAGGTATAGTAACATCTGGGTCAAATAAAATCTTTGTTTTTAGTTTTTTGAGCAATCTGATTTCAATAGTTGTTGAACTACATTCCCACCAGCAATGTAGAAGGTCTCCTTTCTCCCACAATCGTGACAATATCCTTTTTTTAAAAATCCTCTATGATAGCCATTCTTACTGAAGTAATAATAGAATTTGGGTCATTTTTATTTACATTTCTTTAATGATCAAAGATGCTGACCATTTTTTCATCTACTTATCAGTCATTTGTACTTCTTGTTTTGAGAAGTGTCTGTTCCTTTTAATTGCCTACTTTGATTGGGTCTTTTGCTTTTTGGAATCTAATTTGTTTGAATTAGTCCCGTATTGCAGCAATTAGCCCTCTGTCTGAGCAGTAGTGGGAAGATTTTTCCCATGTGTAGTTTGTCTCTTCTCTCTGTTGATTGGCTCCTTTGCTGTGCAGAAGTTTTTAATTTGATATATCCATTTGTTGATTCTTGGCATTAGTTCTTGTGAAGTTGGGGTTATGTTCAGGAAATCCATGTTTACACCTATGTCTTCAAGCTTTTCACCTATTTTATCTTGATTATTTCTTTTTTAATATCTAGGAATTTGATCCATTTTGCTTTGACTTTAGTTCAGACTGAGAGATGCAGGTCTAGATTCATTCTTCTGAATGTGGATAACCACTTTCCCCAGCACCATTTATAAAAAGGTTACTCTTGTTTCAGTGTATGTTTTAAATCCCTTGGTCAGGTGGCTGAAGGGGTTGTTTCTGTGGTGTTTTAGTCTGTTCCATTAGTCTACATGTCTATTTTTTGTGCCAGTACCATACTGTTTTTATTTCTGTAGCTTTATAGTATAACTTGAAATCTAGGACTGCAGTGCCTCCCACTTCACTCTTTTTGCTCAGGATTAGTTTGGCTATTCTGGGTCTCTTCTGATTCCATATGAATTTTAGGATTATTCTCTCTAATTCTGTAAAGAATGTTGCTAGTGTCTTGATTAGAATTGCATTAAATCTCTGTATTTTTTTTGTAATATAGAGGTCCATCTTTTAAAGGTTCTATCATCTATTAATAGCAACATACTGGGGACTAAACCTTTAATATAGAGGTCTTTGGGGGCACATATAAGGTGATCCAAATTTTGTAACTTTATCCATTTTTTAAAAGACAGGATCAAATTATGTAGCCCAGACTGGCCTTAAACTTGTGATTCTCCTGCCTCAGCCATCTGAGTGCTGGGATCACAGGCATGTGACACCTTGCCTTGTATCTGTGTCCATTTTCTACTGATTCAATTTTATTTAGGAACTCCAGCTTTTACTAATGGACAATAAATTAATCTGAGTTTTAATTATGTGATATTAAAATTCTTATTTGTTTAACCACTTAATCAAAAAATATTTATTGATTTTTCTACTATGTAGTAGGCAGTAGGCACTAGGCATTCAGCAACTATTCTCTATAGTGAAATGATCACACTGTGAGGATGCTATCCATGGAAAGGATAGAAATTACTACATTGGACTTAGTTAAATCTGGATAAGCCTCTGAAGCATATGGACTGAACCTGCCTAGTGCTAGAAACCTACAACAACAATACCTCACATCACGTAAACCATTATCTATCCTCCAAATCCAATTTTCTATCTTTTGCTTTTACTTAATTTGATGGGTCCAGTTCTTTTTGATGCTAAATTGACAAGTGAACATAGCTTTAGGTTCCTCTGTCCTGGAGTTTGGCTATGTTGTTTTTTTTTTTTGTCCAAGAGGTCAGCCTTCATTCTTTCACAGTTTTAAAGAATAGCTCTCTGGCAGGGTTGTGTGTTAATTGAATACACTGTTAAACGGACACTTCTCGAGAAGCTGTAGAAGTCTAGGACTGATTGATAGACATCACACAGTATCCAAACAACTTGGTGGAAAGAATACACTACAGTGGGGCTGGGGATACAGCTCAGTGGCATAAGCACCTGCTTGGCAAGCACAAGGTCGTGAGTTTGATCCCCGGTACTGAAAAAAAAAAAAAAGTATACACTACAGTGGAAGTTCAATGACTTGAACTCAAGGAGTACTTTACCCAGAAGCACTTAGAATGTTTCGTAGCATATCTCTGTTTTCAAAATTTTCTTTTCTGGGTGGGGTTGGAAAGTAATAGAAGGCTAATATTTTGATGTGTTGAAGCTGGTAGAAAAGTACTATAAAAAATACTTGAAATCCCACATTGTTCTTTATGGATTATCAGCCCCCCTTTTTGCCCAGCATTACACAACTGAAATCTGACCCATGGAAGCATCAACAATGGTCAGAGTAGCCTCTAGGACAGTGTATATTGGTTGGTCTCCGGGAAGCACATGCTACTGTGCTGTGGCTTTGATGTGTTCTAGAACCCTACTTGCCATGGTATGCTAGGTTTCTACCATTGAGTTCATCCTTTGGTGGATGCATATGTTGTCACAATTGCTTCTTGAGATTTTGGAGCATATCCTAAATTGGCCTTTTATGTTACTGTTTTAGTTACTTTTCTCATTGCTGAGACAAAATACCCAACACCCAAAGTTAAAGGGAGAAAGGTTTACTTAGCTCACAGTTTCTAGATGTTTCAGTCCATAACTATCTGGCTCTAAAACAGGGTGGCACATAGCAGAGGGGCAAGAGTTCATGGGGGTGAAAGACAGCAAAAGCAACAAGAGAGGGAGAGGGGACAAGCCTCTTTCTGTCCCTTATATTGTATGCAGGCTACCCGCCCTAGAGCAGGCACAGTACTCATACCCTTAACCTCAGCATTAGACTATGAATCAATCACAAACTCTTAGCCTTAACATTAACCTTAGCATTAGACTTAACCTTAGCACTAGACTATGAATCAATCACAAACTCTAGATTCAGCCACCTCTGAAAAGCCTGCCCCCCAATGACTATGTATATATGCATGACTGTATGCTTTGGGGGGACATTGAGACACTAACCATAGCAATTACCCTTAATTCTAGTCAGAGCCATCAAGTGGCTTGTGGGACACTTGTGCTAAAGAGTCATTGCAGACATAGTTTCAGGACTGAAAAACAGAATTTTAAAGAAATACCAACATGATTATTTCATGCCAAATGAGAGACATTTTATGGTAATAAAACGCAAATGATGTATTTATTTGACATAAGTAGAGTTAGAAGGAAAGTGTAAAGATAGCAAGAATAAAATTTTATGATATATTCCAGCTATTATTAATTTGTTCAGCATAAGTCTACTCATTTTTTAGCCAGTTCAAACTGTCTGTGTTAGACAGATTTTTATTTCTATGACAAAATGCCTGAGATAAAGAACTTAACTGAGGAGAAGTTTGTTCTGGCTCACAGTTTAAGAAGTCATCTGGCTTCCTTGCTTTGAGGTCTGTGGTGAAGCACATCACAGCACCCACTGCCATAAGCACACAAAGGTCATAGATGTGGATGTCAGTGAGCAGTGCTCTCTGAAGAGCAAAAACTGCATTTGGAGTGGGCTAAGCAGAGAGAGGGCAATCAATGCTAGAAGACAGAAAAAAGGACTTCAAATACTTTGGGGAGACAATAGGTTCTGAAAAAGGGATAAGTCGAGTCTGATTTTGGGGAACGTGTGTAAACATATTAAAGTTGATGATAAGGAACTAGCAGAGAAGGAGATTCAAAGATCCAGGAGAGAGGAGTTAATTGGTAATACAAGACGTAAAGGAAATGATTTTCAGACTGCAGATGGAAGATGAGATCTTTGAAAGGAGAAGACACAAACAAAATGTGGAGCAAACATTTTGGGAATGGGGACACGTGGGAAGGGTTTGGGTTTGCTGATGGGAATTGAGGGGTCCTCATGTAGCAGCTTCTGCTTTTCTCTGTGAATCAGAGCATGTGAATATCTGAGGAGCATAGGAAAGAATTTGGCAGTAGGATTGAGAGGGGTGGGGAAGATAGAAAGAATTATTGTGAAATCTAGGAAGGCAAGTTTTCCCAGAGATACACAGTATGACTTCCAGGCAGTGTTAAAGCTCAAATAAAGTCGGTTATCATAAACTTGGAAAGGAGCCAATCTGCCTGGGTGTGGGATTTTCTTCAGCAATACTCATCAGACTTAGTCTACGCACAGCAAAAGAGTACGTGTCATCACTGACCCCTGAGTTTGGGGAGCTGCATCCACTCATTCATCCTTCTATTACAAATCCTATTTGATTATTTACTTCTGGATTGGCAGAAAAACTAAGAAACTTCAATTCAAGCCAGGATAAGTCTTCACTGTTACTGAACTTCAATCACAGAACAGACCTTGTGACCTGGTCCAGCTCAGGGACATGAAACAAGTTAAAAGAGTAGAAGTGGCAATGGAGTGATATTAGAAGTGTCCGTGATGAAAAGCCTATACGAGATAGAAGTCTCTGAAGAAGCAAACTAGAGTGAGCACAGCTTTTGGGTTAGATGAATGTCCCCTTGAATTCAACATTTCATGAGAGAAGATTTGGACAGTGAGAAGGGCCAGGTTGTGACCTGTGGGAGAGTGCCTGGGGTGGAGAGAAGGTTGACAGGCTGAAAGGCTGCCCTGCTGGGTGGGTGCTCCTCCTCTCAGGAAGAGGCAAGGATTGGTGGAGAGGAAGGCAGAAAGCTTAGCACCAAATAAGGATGCGTGGGGACACCAGACAGCCAGAAGTGCACGCTAGAGTTGGCTCTATGCGGAGAGAGAGAGAGACAGTGCAGAGCAATGGAGCCAAGTCTATAGCAGTTGATAAACCTACAAGCAGGGCGCTTTGTTTTCTTTTGAAGGTCATTATTCCTACATTGTCCCGATAGTGCAGAAAAATGGAAGTAGCTTCATTATTTATACTTATGTTGTTTTGTTTAAACCTCACAACAAATTCAAATTAAGATTTAGGCAGCTAAGTGACTTTCCTTAGGTCATAGAGCTAATAAATCCCACAGGCAAGATTCAAACTGAGGTCCACTAGAAAATAAATGTACACTTTTCACTAGATCACGATGGATGTGTCATGTTTGAATGAATGTTGCTAAAAACACCAACTGTGACATGTATTATTATAGGTCTCTAACTACCACTGGGGAGGCGGTACGGAAGCCAGGTTAGTTTTCACCCATGGATACTGGGTGAAAGGATTATTAAGGATTATTAAATTTCAAAATGAGGTTGTCTGGAATAAGTGAAAGGTGTATGTGGAAATAGGTGAGTGTGGAAGCAGATTGAAGCAGAGGTGCTGGAAAGAGGAAAGCATGCTAGGAAAAATAACATGGGGAAGTTACTCACACTAAAACCTGGCACTTTCAAAATTTGCAGAGGCTGACTGTACATGGGAACTATAAACTATTTTATAGTTATTATTTTTTCTGAACTATCTCTACTTATTTCCCCCCCAAACTGAAAATGGCTTCCAGTATAGTTGTTCATCCAGACCACTCCTTACTCTTAATCCTAGAGGCAGAATAACCATGTGATCTGAAGATAGTCACTAGATATCTTTATGCCATCAAAAGATCCCAGTGAAGCAAGACATTCGACAGCAGCTCTGATCCTTGCCTGCACTTACAAAGGCATCTTCCCAAGGGTTTCCCTAAGTGGAAATACTTTCTTACAAGGAAGTCCAAGAACATCCGTGAGTAAACTATTAAAACTAGTAATAGTTAAATAAGGTTGATGATGTAGGATCTATGTATAATAATCCACTATATTGTCTTATCTCCTTGATAAACACTTAAAATGAACTTTTAATAGACTTCATGAAAATACAATAACTTAATTAATTATTAATAAGTAAATGTGGAGGGGAAGAAGGATTGAAGGAAGTGGAGGAAAGTGTGAAAAAAGAAGAATTAAGATATGTTATGTACAGGTACAAATTCCCTATGATGAATGTGATCACTATGTATGGCAAATATAAATAAAACTAAGCATTTGGTTTTAAATCCAATAGGATTTATTTTTGTGATCTTGAAAATGCTTCTAAAATGTATATGGAATAGTAGAATTGTAGTAAAGTCTCACTGGTTGAATTCTTTTTTTGTTGTTGGTATATCTTTGTAATTTTATTTAATAATTATATTCACTAGGGCAATTGGTATATATCCATATTGCATCTCATCCATTTGTACTTCTACTCCCTTGCCTTCCCTCTCTCCCTTCCTGAGACCCCTTTCTCATTGCCAAAAATCCTTTCTGTCTCTTACCATCTCTTTTATTTTTCTCTGTAAATTATTTATATTTTGAGTTTATCATGTAAGAAAAACCATGTGATATTTCTCTTTCTGTGTCTGATTCACTTAACAAGATCCACCACTGTCTTACAAATGACTCAGATTTATCCTTTTTTATGTCATAGTGATTTTATCTGTTCATCTGTTTTTATCTGGTTTTATCTATTCATCTGATTTTATCTATTCATCTGTTCATGGGCACATAGGTTGCTTCCATAGGGTTTGTGTGTATCACTGTAATATGGTTACATGGATGGTTCTCAAAAGCAGGTTAAGCCAAAAGAAAGAAAGAAAGAAATTAAGAAAAAAAGCAAAATTTACAAGGTATTTATGATAGAATAATTTATGGAAGGTTTCAAACATGAAAAGTGTTATGAATGTCTTCAGGGCATATATACATCCATATTCTATGTATCTTTATCTACCTCTATTGTCTTTTGATGCACCTATTATCTAGTGTCTACCTGTCAATCCATGTATCACCTATCAATCAATCATCTATCTATATATTATCTATCCTTTCTATCTCTAGAATATATGATATATAAAATCAACATTGAAAATCAACATTGAAAATCAGTAGCTATTCTGTACACCAACAGTGAATTAGTTGAGAAAGAAATCAGAAAAATAATTCCATTCACAGTAGCTTAAAAGAAAAATCTAAGGATCAATCTAATTAAGGAGGTGAAAGACCTTCCAATGGAAATTATAGAAAACTAAAGTATGACATTGAAGAAGACAGTGGAAGATGGAAAGACATCCCATGTTCATGGATCAGCAGAATTCATATTACTGGGAATTGTAATGACCAGAGGTTCTTTTCAGGTTTTTACCATTCAGTTCAAAGAGTTGGACAGGATAGTTGATGAATGTGAAAGTTTAATATTTATTTAGAGCAAAAGAGAAAGAAAAGAAGAAGAAAAAGATTTGCAAAAGAAGTACTCCAGAAGCAAAAGTACTCTTAAAAGACGTTCTCTGCAGGGTGAGTGTGGGCAGTTAAAGTAGGAAAAGAAGTATGCTCTGCAAAGTGCAGGGCAGGGTGGTGAAAAGACTCCTGCAGTCACAAGCTTAATGGCCACCATGTTTCATATCCCCTTCTCTGACATCAGCTCTGAGCTGTCCCATCAGAAATAGTTGACTGGATTTCATGCTAGAAGATTGGTTTGAGGTGCAGTATTCAGAAGCTGTGTCTTGAATGTCCACAATTAACAGGTCCTTGTGGTTGACATGTCATACCCAATTGCCCATCCACTTTTCCATGCCCTAATCTCCTGCCTCAGTAGTGTTAAGATGGTCATATTACCAAAAGTGATCTGCACAGTCAGTGTGACCCTCATCAAAACTTCATTAACATTCTTCACAGAGCTAGAAAAAAGGATCTTAAAATTTTATATGGAAACATAAAAGACCTACCCAGCCAAAGCCATCCTAAGCATAAAGAACAAGGCTGGAGGAATTACAATGCCCAATTTCAAATAATACTACAAGACCATAGTAAGAGAAAGGCATGGTACTGGCAGAAAGATAAACACAAAGACCAATGGAATGGAATTGAATAGAAGACAGAGAAATAAACCCACACAACTATAGCTGTTTGATTCCAATTGCTTAGAAAGCAATCAGAAGAGTCAGTAAGTGGCTCTACAGGAAATTAAAAGCTTCTGCACAGCAAAAGAAACAAGTAAGGGAGTGAAGGGACAGGTTAGAAAATGGGAGAAAATCTTTGCCAGCTACTTTTGTGATAGAGGATTAATATCTAAAGAATGTAGAAACTCAACACCAAAAAATAAATAGCCTAATCAATTAATGATCAGACACTTCTCTAAGTGGCCATTAAGTATATGAAAAAATGTGTAATATCTTTAGCCACTAGGGAACTTCAAACCAAAACTACGTTGAGATTCTATCTCACTCCAGTCAGAATGGCTATCATTAAGAATACAAAAAACAGTAAATACTGGTGAAGACGTGGAGAAGAAGGAACCTTTCTACACTGCTGGTGGGAATGGAAATAGGGCCACTATGTTTTCTTTAAAACTAAAAATAGAGCTACTGTTTGATCCAGCTATACCACTCCTTGGCATATAAAGCCATCATACTATAGGGATACCTGCATATCCACGTTTATTGTGGCACAACTCACAACTGCCAAGATGTGGAACCAGCCCAAATGCAATCAAAAGACCAAAGGATAAGGAAAATACAACTGTATACACAATGGAGTGTCATTCTGCCATAAAGAATGAAATTCTGCTATTTGCAGGAAAACGAATAGAACTGGAGATCATCATATTAAGTGAAATAAGCCAGACTCACAAAGACAAGTATTGGATGTTTTCCCTAATATGTGCAATCCAAAAAAAAAAAAAAAATGACAGGAAAGTAGAAAGGAGATTATTCCTAGCTAAGAGGAAGAAACTAGGGAGAGAGGAAGGGGGTGTAAAGCACAGGAATGGGGGGTGGATGTGATAAAATATATGCATTGAAACCAAATATTTTGTAAAATTAATAGGTACTAAGCATGCACACAGAAACCCAAACCAACCAAAGGAAAAAATTATCACTGGGGCAGCTGCATGCAGCATTACTGTCACTCAGTGAAAGCCACCGCTGTTGTCAATATTGTTTACAATCACTGCTGACTAATACAAAGCTTGGTGTTAGGCAGAGTCAGTGTTTCTGTGGTTGGAGGTCATCAGGGCGTATACTTTGCAGTCTGCATTTATCTTGTACAGATCTCTGAGAAGTTGGTTTTACATCTTTAGTGACCTCGGTTGACAGTCCAAAACTCTCACTGACTTAAAAGGAAGCAAAGGGCTCAGGTTATAGAATCAGAGAGATCTGGGTTCAAATCCAAGCTTTAACTTGCAGGATATCACGTCAGCTGCACTTTCATAGCCCCAGTTTTCTCCTCTGGCAAAAAGGAATACCACATGAGGATTAAAGTTATTTGTACCTGCGTAGTGGCAAGCCCTCAGCAGAGGTTACTGGCTTCTTTTTTTCCTAACATGTCATAGTGGCCACACTGTGCCACGTTGGTTAACATGTTCAGTGAAGTCAGGCCATGTTCTGATGGTGATAGCCAAGTTCTCATCAAAGGAGACAGCTGGGAGCAGGTTGCATGGCAGAGAAGGAGAGAATGGAGTAGAGAAAAATGAGGGAGTAGGAAGGGCAGGGGAAGGGAGGGAGCTTCCAAAAACAAGACTCATAATAGGGCCCTGCTCCAGCTCAACCAGACAGGTGGCACTGTGTTTACCTTTCCGTCTCTGGATACCTGTGCTTCTCCAGCCAAGCAAGAGCACTGTGAACACGGTGAATAAAAGTGAGCCGTGCTTTAAGGAAGAAAGACTATGCAGGTCACTAGTTAGCACCTAACGCAGGAGACAGATTAGTTCTTCGAGAGGAAGGGGCTGTTGGAAGAAGTATCCGTGGGTTCCTGCTGTGTGTCATATTTCCTTTCTTAAATTGGATGGTGGTTCCTTTTCCATGTGTCTGAAGTCTTTCTTAGTAAAACTGAAATAAAATCAAGTGTTTAAAGAGCAACTAAGCTGAGCAGAGTGTGGATGGGACCGTGGTGTTGAGTTGGAGTGAATTTGGCTGATTCTGGGGTCACGCTCTATCTGGACTCGCTTATAGATCTGCAAAGCTACTGCCCAGAGCTGAGTAAAGTAAGAATACACGTGACTGTGAACTTGGCACATTATTTATAACCAGATTTACCTATATGTATTGAGCATGCACTGCGCATTGTGCCTTGGGGTGGTGGCGTATGGCTCTATTTAGCTTGCCTTTGGTAAAGGTGAAAGATTTATACGATCTGAAGAGAAACCAGAGTATTTAGCTTGCCTTTGGAAGAGCCATGGAAAGGCTGCCTTGGGAGAAAATGGATAGTCATAGGGAGATGGGACATTTTAGTCCCCATTCCTGCTCAACTAAACCATTTCTGTGTTTATCTCTGTATTATATTTTGGGGTGCCCTGTAAGCTCTTTCTGGGAGCTAACTTTCCCGAATGGAAAGGGGCTGGTGTTGAGGCATGGTGGGCCAGGGTTGGTGGCTCTAGCTTCTGGTAGAGGTGAGTGGCTCTTCTTGTAGGGTCTGAGGGCATCTCCCCGATCCCCCACGCCCACATTTATGAGGAGCAGGAGGGGTTCCTGGAGTAGGGGCAAGTGAGTTTTATGTACTCCCTGTGCATAGCCTGCCAGGCCTACGACAGAGCCTCTGAGCCAGACATGGAGGGGTGGCGTGAACAGTATCACACTGGCGAACACCTGTCTGCCCACGTCTGGGCGCTTAAGAGAATGTTTGTCTAGAGACGTTGCCAAGCCTGGTGACAATGTCTAGTGAGAGCTCACTACACATGGGAACTCCATGTTCAACTTTGGCAGGGCTGCTGAGGTTTGCACTCATGAGCTGGCTGGCTGTGGGCAGTCTTCTCGTCTGTGGAGCAGAACCAGCAGTGATGTCCCTCTCACAGTCCTGCTGTGATAGGTCGGTGAGATCATACATTGCCAGGTCTTGGAAATGCCTGCTACAGAGTAGTAATAGAATAGTGTCTCTGATTTGCTCAGATGTCTAAATGTGCCTGGAGTCTCTTTGAGGCAAAAGTGCCAAGAATAATTTTTTCATAATGGACCTAAAATCTTGCCTCATTTATTCACTAATTCAGTAAATGTCTGTTGAACCCTACATACATGTCAGTGATGGTTTGAGCATCTATGGACAGGCAATGTGGGAAGCCCATGGAACTCTGTCCTCATGGAGTCCCATTCTGTTTTTTTTTGGGGGGGGTACCAGGAATTGAACTCATGACCTTGTGCTTGCCAGGCAGGCGCCGTGCCACTGAGCTATATCCCCAGCCCATGGAGGCCCATTCTAGTCAGGCACTGTGAGGAACTGACTGAAAGGAAGCACACATGTACAGTCAACCTGCTGTGTCTATGGTGGAGTCAACCGACCACAGATTTAAAAATTTGGAAAAAATTGCATCTGTCTTAGACAGGTACAGAGTTTTTCAGGTCCTTATTCACCGCACAATACTGTATGACAACCATGTACACAGCATTTACATTGTATTGGTAATAAGTGATCTAGAGACCATGAAAACATACAAGAGAATGTGTGTGGGTTCCTTGCAAACACTGTGCCATTTTATATAAGTGACTTGGGAATCCTTGAATTTTGTTATCCATAAGGGTCCTGGAACCAGACTGTTAGGTGGATAAGGTGGAGGAAAACAAGGCAGCATACATGAAGTCCCTCAGGGGAGGTCTTATTTTAGGGTATAGGAACAACTGCACTGGGATCTGGGGACACTGAAGCTTCTAGTCCTGGCTCCTCTACTCAGTACAAGTCTGAGACTTTTAGAAATTGAAAACTCTGGTCTATAGCAATTTAGCATTTGACATTCCAGTGTCTGTTTAAGCTGGTAGAATCCACAGACGAGGGTCAGGCACAGTTAGTGCGGAGCAGACTAGCAGTGTCTTCAAGGCACAGGGCCAGCCTGTGGGCGGGACTGGCTGCTACGGGACCCACTAGCATGTGGGAGAGTAGCAGTGGTAGATACAAACATTTTCTGTTAGTGAAGAACCAGTCACTTTGCTAATTTTCTTTTGTTGTTTTTGGTGTGTGTGTGGTACTGGAGACTGAACCCAGGGCCTTTGCACTGAGGGGTATCTGCATCTGTTTTTGTATTTTTTAGTTTGAGACAGGGTCTTACTCTGTTGCTAAATTGCTCAGGTTGGGCTGAAACTTGCTGTTCTGCCTCAGCCTCCCAGAGTGCTGGAACCGTAGGTGTGCGCTATCATTCCCGGCTTTTTAAAGTAGCATGCATAGTGGTAGGATTCAGTGTTAACGCTGGGGCGCATATTTTTCTGGACAGCGTGGCAGGTTTCTGACCTCTGTCTCCTGATCTGAACCTCCCATTGGTTGTCTGTAGGCCATGTGCAATGTGCTTGGCCTCAAGCAGGGTCTTATTTTGTTTCTCGTTTTCTGGTACCATCATGAAAATTTTTAGTGAAGCGGCAAGTAAACAGTTAAGAACTGAGAAGTCTGTTTTTAGCTGACACATCTGAAGCAGAAATAGTAAATCTTGCTGTGAAAGGATGTACATTTTCTTTGAACGTGTGCCAAGGAGGCAATAACATGGCCCTGCAGTGTCTGAGCCAGATGGGTCTGTGGCTGAGCAGGAGAGCGTTGGGCTGGGAATAAGGACTGGCTGTGTGATTTGGGGAGCGTCGCAGCCTTCCAGAGCCTCAGTTGCCCCTTCTGTAAAATGAAGCCTTTAGGTTTTGCCTCAGAGCCTTTGATGAAAGTTTCTGTACTTGATGATCGCTTCTTCCTTGCCTCTGAAGCCCAGTTGCTGCTTCAGAGATATATGTGAAATAGCCTAGTTTAAAAGCCACAAGCGTGTAGAAAGGCGGGTGAAGGTGATAGAGATTGATCCACCCAGGTCAGGGGTTGATAGTGAAGCCACCCACTCCATAACTGAGGAAGTCTCAGGTTTCACTGAAATAAAGACGAAGTTCTTGGACAAAGCGTAAAGCAAGGTGATCTCAGCGTAACTGTAGGCTGCACATGAAGCTAGCTGTGGGCAGTGGTTTCCGCACGATCCCCTCCTGGAGCTGTGTTTCTATGCACGAGAGGTGCCTTCCTGCCTGCGAGTGGCCAAGTCACGTTCACACGGTTGGTGGAGTTTCCCTGCAGTCTGTCTTAATTCCATCTCTTAGCAGAGACAAATTGTGTGTTCCAGAAGTTTTGTGTAATTTATTTCAAGTGATCAAACATGCTTTGTCTAGAGTCAATAAGAAATTTCAACTTTTTTTGAGACTGTGCAGGAGAAAAAGTATGGATCCTTACAATGCATAACAAAGTGAAACAAAACAACCAAAAGCCCTGAACATATTCTTTGGACGTTAAGGGGTGAAGGTGGTAGAAAGAGGGAACTTTTACAGCTGAACACCAATTGACTCTCTTCTCCAGTACAGCGGCCCTGGGAGTGTAGCCCAGGTCAGTCCACGGGAAGAAGGTGTGACTGAATAATGCTCTTACAACACTGCATGCAAGTTGAATTTAGCTTGCACCTAGCCTGAGTTTATGAGAGAATATGTCACATATCCATGCAGAGGTTGATAAGCAATTTTGTTAGTTAATTTTTAAAAAAATTATGAAGAAAAGACTGGTTTTCAGCTTGAAGTAATTTACTGACGCTTTATAAACTCATCAAATGTCACCCTGGCGGGGTTTGCGGGGTTTCTTGTTTGCTGAGTGGCCTTTGCTCTTAGCTGCATATCTCTGAGATTAAACCTGGGTTTGTTTCCTGCCAGAGACATCATGGAGCTTCCCGCATGAGTGCCACTGTGAGCCACTGGAGGTCTGCAGTGCCAGAGCTGAGGGCCCTGGGAACCCAAGCAGCCTTTTCAGGGTCCCACGGAGGCCATCAAACAGCACGTATGTCAACAGGGCATATGGTGGGAGGGTGACCTAAGTGCCTCTGGTCCTTGGGAATGTGTGTTGCGTGATTTACATCTGTAATTGCTGAAACTGGTGAAAATGTTTTACATCTTTGCAGATTCCATCCATGGGGAAGCCATTTCTTACATTTTTGCTATTACTTTAGGCTTGCTTATTGCCTTGGGTAGAAAGAAGCCTGAGGAGGCTTGACCAGATTTAACTTTTATTTTTTGCGTTTTTCAGTTGTTTTCCTCTTGGTCACCTCCTCTTGGCTGTGAGTGGGTGCTGTGTTGTGCTTATACCCAATAGGGAACCGCCTGTTTGAAAATTACTTTGTATGAAATCTTCACTACCTGAATGGTGGATACTGGGCAGCAATTCTCAAATAAAACCCAATTTCAGCAGCAAAGAAAATAGCATCAGTGTCACACCTCCCGAAGCCATTGTTTCTATGGACCCATAGAAGTGAAGGGGGCCTGGAGATTTAGCTCAGCAGCACAGCGCCTGCCTGGCAAGCACAAGGTCTTGAGTTCGATTCCCGGTACTGGAAAAAACCAAAATAACAACAACAACAAAAACAGAAGTGAAGACCCCAGGATACAGAACATGGGGAGGGAAGGGCATCCCTTTTGATTTAGTTATTTAGGGTTTTCTTCTACTTTGTAGTGCTGGGGATTGAACACAGGCTCCACATAGACCAGGCAAGTAATCTACCACTGAACTAAACCCCCAGGCTCCTCTCTTTCTGAGACAAAGTCTCGCTATGTTCCACTATGTTGGAACTCCTGGCAAAAGCAGTCTTCCCTTGTCAGCTACCTGAGTAGTTGGGACTGCGGTGTACACCGCTGCACTGGGCTCTAGCGTTTGCTGCATCAGCAAAGCCAACCCACCTAAATGGTCCTTTGGATTTCCAAATGATCCTTCCTCTACTGGTGATAGTTCCTGCACAGGCTCATCCCTGAACTCTCAGGGTCTGGGGAGGGGAGTGAGCAGGGTCCTCTGTCCTGTCAGCTGATGGGCAGGGCCACAGCACTTGTGTTAGATTTTAGTCACTGTCCACTTAAAAAAAATAAATCTTTTCCTGATGGTAGTATTTCTGACCCCTGTGAGTTGTAGATGACATTTCAACCTTTTGAGGATTCTGGTTATTTTTGCCATGAGTACATTCCAATCTGGTAAGTTAGTTATTTGAGTCATTCCTAAAGAAGCGAAATGTCCAAGCACAGGTGTGAGAGATCAGGTTAGCAAGGTGCCTGGCAAACTCTGAATCCCTTTGCTGCCTATGGGATAGTGCGCTAGTTAGCTTTTGCAAAGTTACTTTAGGGAAGCAGAGAAACTCATTGTAAGAACTCAAACAACTTAGCAGGCTGGACAATATGAAAGTGCTGTAGTAATCTGGCCTCAGGCCCAAGCTCCTTCAGAACCCCTGGAGGTCTTCCTGGTGGGAGGTGACCAATATTTGGACCTTGAGCCTAGACAGGAGACAGCAGCTGCGGTGAGGAGACATGGGCCCATCTCCAGCAGGGTAGCCAAGATGTGGCAAGGACAGTGTGGAGCCAGAGGGAGTCACGTCCCAGTGCTATAGGGAGTTGGCTTTGCCGAAGGCTGAGGCCTCAGGCTTAGTGCCTGGGCAGTGAGTCAGGCAGATGGAAGGCCAGAGAAGGCTCTGGAAGTTACAGCTGTGGCCACAATAAGCCAGCAAGGGTGACACATTCACCTTCATGAGTTAAGAGTTCTTATACCCACTGGGGGACACCAACAGTGACCATTCTTTGCCATATACTGGAAAGCAACATACGTCAGGAGTGGAGGTGCAGATCTGAACCATTTGTCTTCTGCAGAGAAGTAGCAGGATTTTGGGCAAATATCTATATTGCCAGGCCCTTCTGGTCCATCATCTATGAAATAGAGACCTCACCTCTATTAAAGGAATGCTGTGAGGCCTAAATGAGAAAATAAAAGGGAAGTACTTAGCTATTGACCACTAATGTCTAACCAACTGTATAAATAATGATTACTATTTTTCCTGATGTGGGAATAATTATGCACAGAGCAGCAGATTTCGGGATCATCTGATAGCAAGGAAAGTAATAATAGGATAGTTTTTCTAGAGCATAAAAGTTGCCAAGCAAGTAGTCTATAATTTTTATTAAGCCAATAATTGCTTATATTTGCAAAAGCATCATGGTTAATAAGGCTCACTTTGGTTAGAAACCATCAGTGACTGGAATTAGAGAAATAGTGATTCACCAATTTTAGTCTTCTAGGGTTGCTGGCAAGATTTGCTATGAGTATCTGATACCTGCAGATGAGTCATTTAAAAAACACCTGGGGTGACCTGGGGCTTTATCCTGGGTCTCTGTGTGTAGTAGCGTATCTCATGATGGCCACATTTGAACCTATTCCTCCTTAGAAGTTCTTTGTACTCCATGCAGAGATCTCCATGCAGAGGTAGCATCATCTCTCACATCTTTGGCTCTGGGTTGACCGGTGACTCCCTTGACTCAAAGAATGGATGGAAGGGGAGACATGCCAGTTCTGACCTGGCCTTTTCCTTTCCCCTCTTAGAGCACTCTACAGAGGAAGAAAGGCTGCCATGTGAACTAAGATACCCACTGTCTGAGGAAGTCTCTGTTGGCCACATGTTGAGTCTAGATCCAGGGTACAAACACTGCCAGCTCCTAGCTCTTCCAAGTCCCAGACACCCTGGGTGGGGGAAACCACTGGAGCATGGCAGCTTTCACAAACAGATGGGGAGGAACTGAACTCTGCTGCAGCGCACAGGTCAGGGATACCGACAACATGCAAAAGGAGCCAACCCTGGCTGTCTTCCCTGAGTTCCCCCGATAACCATGTGGGACGCTTCTAGTCCTGCTGGTCTTGGTCTAGCCCACTTGGGTCTCAGAAGACAGGATCGTGGGGGTCAGCCTGCATCACTCAGGCCTCTAATTTTGGGAGCCCTTGGACGCAGCTCTAGATCAGTTCCATCCTACTTCACAGATAATTGGAGAGACAGAGCATTGTTGTAGGGGTATGGCCATAGGTAGGCAGCTGTGTTAGGACTGTAACAGAAAATGGCCCCCCAGCCAGTATAATTCAGTTTCTTAGTTGCCCAGGTAATAGTCCCTATTCCAGTTCCATTTGCTTCTGTCTCTTAGAAATGGCTGGTCACTTTGATGAATGTTGCTTAAACCAATCTCCAATTGATAAGCCACTCTGCCTCTGTACTTCCTGCTTGCTTATCCCGTATAAGAAATCAGGGCCTGGTATTCTGAGAATGATCCCAATCAGTGCTCAACAATGTAAATAAATCTGCCTCCAAATCCTGGGTGTTGTGTCAGTGTTTCTGCTTGCCATTGCAGGCAGAATGATAGAACTTCATTGAAAGATGTAAGTGAATAGAAGAAGAAATTGTGTGCATGATTGGGAAGACTTTATATATAAAAAATGACCTTATTTAGAAAGATTATCTCTGTACTTACAGAGATAATAATGGTTAGATCATTAGGGTGGGCCCATTCTTCCTGAGAATTCTACCTTGGCGCCCTTGTCAGCTGCCGCAGTTGCTGCCAACACCTATAGCTTCACTCTCTGCTCCCAACTTATGTACTTCCAGCCAATTGAACTGGTTCCAGTTGGCCATTGCCTTCATTTGGCCAGAGAGGCCCTCCATCCAGAGCTTTCTGCTTACATGCCTATCCCAGTCAGATGACATCATCTAATGTCCACCTGAAGTGACTGTCAACAACTCCTTCTGAGTTTCACATTTTGACTGAAGAAAATTAGACTGTCAACTCTGATGAATGAGTTATATCATTGGGCCTGAGTAGGACAACTGAACTCTATCAGATTGGGCTCCAGAGAACCCATGGTCATTACAAAAGTCAGGGGCAAACGTATGAGTTTCCTGGTGGGCAATGGAACAGAACTCTGTGCCTTCAAAAGTCCCTTCAAAAAGTTACCATCACCAGGCAACTGGGACTCTTGCCTCTCGTCCCTTCTGCCACGCACAGACTTACAGCCTGAGAGGACATCTCACCAAACATGAATTCCTATATAATGCAGTCCTCATACTGCTTCTGGGAAGAGACCTTCTCTTCAGGTTAGAAGCGACTGTCTCTTTTGCTCCAAGCCAGTCAGCCTTGTTTTCATTTAACCCTGCGTTTTCAACTTTGGCTGTTCCCTCAGAGGAAGATGACACCTGCATCAGCCTGCGACAGATAACCCCAATCCTGCAGTTCTCAAAACTCTCCTCCCAGAGGTATAAACTAAAGACTCACCTCTGGACCTGGCCATCAACCCTGCCAACCCACCACGACCCCTGTTGCTGTCAGATGCTACTGGAAACGCAAACAGGCATACAGCCACACATCAGGCTGACTGACTGTTAATCACCTCAGGCAAGTTCTCTGTGCCATCAACAATGCATCCTCAAGAATTTGGGAACTCTTCCACTATTTTCAGTGTGGCTCTGACAACAGATTTGGCCACTCTGAGACAGCCTGTTTTTCTGTACCTTCCAACTCCACAATTCTGTCATTGTCCCCTGGGCCCTGAGATTGGGCCATCCACCACCTGCCTCTGATTGTGAAACTCCATTCTGGGGCAACCCCTACCTGCATCAAACAGTATCCCATGCTATGGGAGACTTATCTAGAAATTCAGCTGTACATCCAGAAGTTTCAAAACTGCAAAATGTTTATAGACTGTTAAACTGCTGAAACACACCTCTCCTGCCTGGAAAGCCAGTTCAAGATCTCTGAGCTGCCAATGCTGCCACAGTTGCCCTCCATGTATATTGCCTCAGTTTTCTGCCACCCACAGCCTGTGGTACACTTGCCTGGACCTAAAAATTGCCTTCTTCTGCCTTTGGTTAGCTCCTATCAGCCAGCTCCTGTTTACCTTTAAATGGAAAGACCCCAGCTCTGGACTCAAAAGTCAATTGACCTGGACTCAAGCTCCCAGAGGTTCAAAACTTGTTTACTCTCTTTGGAGAA